CACTGCAGCTGCCGTGTCTCAACTGGGAAGACGGCCAGTGGCTGTGGTGGCCTGGCTCAGAGGACCAGTCTTCCACCTGGCTGGGATGAGACACTTTATCGCTAGGAAACAGTGAAATGTGGATTATTTTCTCTCTCTCTCAATCGCTGCAGCAAACTTGGTGTTGCACCAGACCGTGGAGCGCATCCACGTGGGCAAGAAGTATGGGGACATCCCCCGAGGCATCTTTGTCGTGAGAGGCGAGAACGTTGTTCTGCTGGGGGAAATCGTAAGTAAGCAGCTCCTTGTGCCCGCGCTCTGCCCGCGGCAGCGGCTCCGCTGCGGTCTGCGACTGAGCTGGTGGTGGTGTGACTCCGAGCAGCACTGCCGAGGTGGACACCGGAGCTGGGTGTCCATCTGTCTGTCTGCCATGAGATACTGTCCCGTTGCAGGGGCTGAAGTTTGAGTCTGGGGCTGGTTCGGGCTGAAGCATCATGAAAATGCGCCTGTGTATCCGGGGTGGGCAGAGGTGCCATCCCGCAGCTGCAGCTCCTCTGGGATGGGGTGGGGGTCAAGCAGAGGGAGACGTGGGGAAGCCCCGGTCTGCAGGTGGCATTGCTGGAGGGTGTTGTGGGGCTGTCACCTCCCTGCTGGCTCCACACTGGAGGACACTGGCTGGGATGGGCTCCATGTGCCATCTCTCTTGCTGTTCGCTTTGGCCTTTTGGGCTGAGTTCAGCCCGGCTGCTTCCTGGGAGCCCCCTCCCATGGACACCTGTCCTGGGGGTCCCTGACTGTCCCAGGGGTCCCTACCTGCATCTGTGCCCATCAGGGCACTGTGAGCACCTTGTTTTGCATTGCCTCCGCACCGTGCTGCACCTGCAAATCTGTGACTGTGCCCCAGGGGGAACCCGAGCGTTCCCAGGACCAAATGCCTGGGCTGCCATCAAGCTGGTAACCCCAGAGCTTGGCAGGCCAACCCTGCCGCGGCTCGCCTGGGGAACCGTCCTGCTCCAGCAACTTTGGCGAGAGCGATGGAGTGCGTTATCCGTGGTGCAGCAGTGCCCACCCTCCCCGGGTGCACAGAGCCTGGCCAGGCGCTGGTGGGAAGCGCTCGGATGTCACCGAAGCCCCAAGCGCATGAGAGGGCTGCGTGTTGGTGTCCCAGCGGAGACGCGGGTGCGGATCCGCCCCGGACCTTTGCCGTCCCCGCTGGCTTTCGGCCCCTCCAGACCAGCGCTGCCCTGGCTGGTGAGATGCCCTCTGCAGAGGTGATGTTGGCCCAGCCCGGAGCTGCCCTGCGGGCAGAGCGGTGCCCGGAGCGTCCCCCGAGCAGAGCCACGTGTCTGAGCCGCGGCGCTGCCTCGCGGTGCGCAACGCGCTGTTTCTCTTGCAGGACCTGGAGAAGGAGAGTGACACGCCTCTGCAGCAGGTCTCCATCGAGGAGATCCTGGAGGAGCAGCGGGTGGAGCAGCAGGCCAAGCAGGAGTCGGAGAAGCTGAAAGTGCAGGCGCTGAAGGAGCGGGGCCTCTCGGTGCCGCGGGCAGACACCCTGGACGAGTACTGAGTGCTGCCCCCGGACCTTTCCTCGGCAGCGGAGCGATGGGTGCTCCGTCACCCGCCCGCGCATGGGCGGATCCGTTTGGAAAGGCAGTTTTTATTTCCAGGTTGTGTTTTGTGGGGTGCAGATAACTGTAAAAAACCCCCATACCTCTAGTTCCTCCTTGCAGAGAAGGAGGAGAGAAGGTTCGGCTGCCCTTCGAGGGCGCCGGGCACGCCGGCGAGCACGAGCGTGTGTGTCCAGGAGGCAAATCGCTTGGTCCTGCGGGTTCGGTTGCTTTTTCCTCCTCACGTGACTCTGGGTGAGGGTTTTCCCGATGTGTAAATAAATCCTTGATCTCAACAACGATGGCTTTGCCTGTGTTCGGGACCCAACGCCTTCCCCTCTCTCAGGATGACCGCCCTCGTGCCAGCCCTTGTCCCTGCTGGGTGCTGTGCAGGGGGGAGACAGGACCCTGGGTGCTGCTGTGGGGCGGGCTTGCTCCAAGGAAAAGCTTAAGGATGTGGCAAGATCCCTCCTTCCAGGACAGGGAGCAGGACCTGGGTACCCTCTACACCCTGACAAGCACTGCCAGCTCCCCCCAACAGGCTGCAGCTGCGCCCACCCGT